CATATGATCAAGAACCAATGGTATTGAAAGAAGAAGAAGTTGAAGCTGCATTGAAGGAAGTGGTGAAAAACAAGGCTCCAGGAATTGATGGGATACCCGTTGAGATGTTTCAACAAATGGATGCCCCGCTGGAGGCACTCACTCAGTTATGCCAAGAGATTTGGAAGAAAACTATCTGGTGAACTGACTGGAACAGATCCGTACTAGTAGCCATTCTAAAGAAAGATGATCCCACAGAATGTGGAAATTATCAAACAATATCATCAATATTGCACCAAGTGAAATTTTACTGAAGATAATTCAAAAATGGTTACAGCAGTATACTGACAGAGAACTTCCATAAATGCAAGCTGAATTCAGAAGAGAATGTGGAACTAGGGACATCGCTGCTTATGTCAGATGGATCTTGGCTCAAAGCAGAGAATACCAGAAAGATGTTTACTTGTGTTTTATTGGCTATGCAAAAGCATTCGATTGTGTGAATCCTAACAAATTACAGATAGCACTGAGAAGAACGGGAATTCCAGAACACTTAATTATGCTCACGAGGAACTTGCACATAGACCAGGAGGCTGTCGTTGGAACAGAACAAGGGGATACTGCATGATTTAAAATCAAGAAGGGAGTGTGTCAGGGTTGTATCCTTTCACCATACTTGTTCAATATGCTGAGCAAATAATCAGAGAAGCTGGACTATATGAAGAAGAATGTGGCACTGGGATTGGAGGAAGACTCATTAACAACCTGTGATACGCAGATGACACAACTTTGCTTGCCGAAACTGAAGATGACTTGAAACACTTACTGATGAAGATTGAAGACTGCAGTATGGAGTACACTTTAATATAAAGAAAACAAAAATCCTCACAATGGAACCAATAAGCAGCATCACGATAAATGGAGAAAAGACTGAAGTTGTCAAAGACTTCATATTACTTGTTCTATAATCAACACCAATGGAAGCTGCAGCCAGTATATCAGACATGGTACAGCACTGGGGAAATCTGCTGCAAAGGACCTCTTTCACATGCTAAAGAGCAAGGATGTCTCCTTGAAGACTACGTACAGTGTGCCTGACACAGCCATGGTAGTTTAAATCACCTCATACGTATGTGAGAGCTGGACAACAAAAAAGGAAGACTGAAGAAAAGTCGATGCTTTTGACCTGTGGGGTTGGCAAAGAATGCTCAAAGTACCATGGACTGCTAAAACAACTAACAGACCTATCCTGGAAAAAGTACAGCCAGAACGCTCCTTGGAAACAAGAATGGGCCAGACTTCGTCTCACCTACCTTCGTCAAGGTGAAAAAAGAGGCCATTCCCTAGAAAAGGATATCATGCATGGTAAAGTGGGGGACAAAGGAAAAAGGGGAAGGCCCTCAACCAGATGGACTGACACAGTGGCTACAACAATGAGGTCAAGTATAGCAAAGATTGTGGGGCTGGCACAGGACTGGGCAGTGTTTCTTTCTGCTGTACATGACGTTGTTGCTATGAGTCAGAGACAACTCAATGGCACCTTACAAACAACATCATCAATTCTGACTCATAGTGACTCTCTATGACAGAGCAGAACTGCCCCATTTTGTTTCCTAGGCTATAATCTTCATGGAAGCAGATTACCAGGCTCTCTCTCCCATGGAGCCAGTAGGTGGGTTCAAACTGCTGACCTTTTGATTAGCAGCTGAGTAGTTAACCATTGTGCTACCTTATAAAGGATAGTAAGTACTGTACTCAATAAGTGTTATTGGTTATTAAGATTATTTGTATTATTGTTATTACTAAATTTTATCTTATTATGCTTAGTCCAACACTCCTTTATACCAAGATCCTTTTCCATCTGAATTTGATAAATGTATTCATCATTCTCCACCCTCCCAAGCCCAGTTTCTTGCTAGTCATATTCAGCAACTTACCATGTGATTATCCCAGAAGCCAACATCATCAAAGTTGAACAGACCCTACTGACAAGTCCAAGAGACCTCATTAAAGTATAATACCCATCCACTCACTAGTATCTTTAGCTACTCCTTTGTTGTTGTTGTTGTTGTTATGTGCCGTCGAGTCAGCCCTGACTCATAGCGACCCCTCCTTGGGTTTCCGAGGCAGTATCACTACGGAAG